TATAGCAACCGTCGTATTTCTCTTTTGATCGTTACTAAATCATTTTTTTTCTTAAATATTTTTTCAATCATTTACCGCTCTATATATCCGGTTTTATGCAACTAGTGTGACCGAGGAAACGTATATCAAACTGACAAGGTAAACATATATCTTTTTTATTTACGTCCTCACGAATTCAACTAGACCAGGGAAGAGTTATACTATATTAATTCAAATTTTACAGGACCATATGGAACACGGCCGTCATAGGATACTCCGGAATCCGATTATCGCTGTGCACCTAGCGTATATTTAACTTATTTCGGATTGTTTATCATGGTAATTAAATAACAATAACGAATCGTTATTGTGGATCGTGTCCTCGAGTGGATTACATAAACTGTATTCTACATAATATTCTACATACATGCACACACACAGAGGACATCGACAGAATTGTCTTGATTTAACCTTAATAATATAGTGATTTCATATTTACGACTTTTTAATTTTAGGTTTGAAATTACATAAAATATTATTTTAATCACTTACACACCACAGCATACAGCCAATGTGGTACATGATTTATGGTTTTGAGTAAATGCGCATCGCGTGCATATGACGATTGACCAAATAAATAAAACGTAGTATGAGGTTATATATACATATATATATATATTATATACAGGTTACAAGTGAAAAACACTATAGTGAAAAAAGTGCTATATTTAATATATTACATAATATTATTGTGTATTACATCAATTAGATAAAGTTCTACAAAACCTTAATTTCTTGGGTTCTAGTACAACTGTGGATAAAAAGTGTAACTAAAGTCGAATGATTCAGTACACGCACATATTACATATTATGGTATTTTATAACGCCAAACAAGGATCGAGAAGAAAGATAAAACGGTCAACCTCAGAATGTGTAACACAACCCGGCAAAATATCGGTGTCATGCCATAATATTATAATATTATTATCAAGTAGCCTCCGCTGACCTGTTGCAAAAATTACGTAAAATAGAACAATTGCAATAGAAATTTAACCCGATATGGTGAGAAGTATGGCGACGGTATATGGATGAAGTCCACCATGGACCATGACACTAGCACGAATATATAGGTGACATAAAATGTAATGTGCACCTTGAATTACGTGGTGGGTAACGGTCGGTCGGACATATATTGTGCATTAGATCCAAAGGGCACAGACTTTGTAAAATAAAATGTCTATCTAATATTATATTAAAGAATTAACGCAAACACATGCAATCTTCTCAGTCACACAATGACTGTTGAGGACCCAGTAAGTCATAACATTTACATTTTATTATAATTGTTAGGTATTTAATAGTCCTGCAGCAAGCCGCAAAACTTCTTATTATACCTTTTCGAAATTACGAGTTATAAAATAATCTCTTAGTATATAATACTATTATTATAACCGTTAGCAAGCTGCAGTTCTCGTCAAACGGCATAAACTCAAAAGTTATTTTAATATATTATATAGGTAAAGTAATATACACTTAGGCTTCGGCACAGTTTACGTCGGTACTAAAAAATCTACCAATTTACGATTGCAGTTTTTATAACCGTGTAAAAACTAAAATATATGAACAAAGTATTTTAAATTACTGCAGCAGAACAATTTACATTATATTATTCGAAACAAATAATTGTTCATATAAAATGTTGTATAGAATAATAAATGGAATTGCATTATATAGTCGTATTAGAATTTATTGTTATTATAATAATATATAAATAGTTATATACGTATAAAATGTCTAATTTTGTGTTGTTACCGAAATTATATTATTTTAATTTTAAACCAAAACTGTGATAAAAATATCATTAATGTTGTGGCACATTTATAGAATATTATTAGCCAAGAAACACACTTTAGTATACTTGTTATGAACTTACTCCAAAACGATAAGAGATTTTGGATAGATAATCGATAGGTACTTGCATTGATCTTGAATTTAAATATCAGAAAAAAACAATTTGAATTCATCACATGTTTGGCGTAGAAAAATACCTAAATAAATTGTTCACCGGCCAATATTTCAGACTTCAATAGCAAAATAATTGCATGCAGACAAATTCCGTGTAGCTGCCATCAAAATAAGTCGAGTCGTGAGTGCATTTTCTCACATTATTACTTAATTGTCACGTCGAAATGAATTCCCGTGCAATAACAATATAATACGGTTACAATTTACACAACATTGGTCGAAATCTAACAACTCTCGTGTACGTATAATATACGACGAATATTGGCTAATTCACTGAGCGTTATTTTGACATAACAATCGGGAATACGCTGCTTGTCTAATATACAGTATATAATATAATATCGTTATAATATTATACCTATGATTCGTCATCACCGGTGATGACCACGGTGCTGCGCTCAACAGTGCGTTTAATCACCAAGTAGTCGTGATGCGCCCGGCGAGGGGATTTTTCGTGAATTATTCATATGCGCACCTACTACTACCACTACACGAGTCGAGTGATTTTTCCGAAAATTTGACGTCCCGCGCTCCGGGTACGCAATAATAGAATAATATGATTTTCTCTCCGAGGGGACGAACGAAGGCCAGCTCGTGCACATAGGCCCGGGTCGAAGTCGAAGAGCTCTCGCCGTCATGTACACAGAGGCGCGTGCGGTAATGTCATCAAACTGCCGCTGCAGCAGGTATTAGTCACCCGTGCCGACCGACCGATCGGTTTCTAACGAGCGCGGTCAGATAGGATATCCCGAGTCCTGGCAGGCGAGGAAAGCGGCGGCGTCAGGGAAAAAAGGAAAACCCTCCGACCCGACGGCGAATAATATGCCGTGTATGGAGTATATAATACACTGCAGAGCGTCAAAATCGAATAACTGCAGCGGCCGTGAGGGTTGACAGGGTGGGGCGGGTTGGGGTGACGGCGACCCCCGCCGTCTGTCAATCAGCGGCCGAATTATTTTAATAAAGGAGTGCACAAATTATATATACGACTGCGCCCACCGTGAGCCCTCTCCGGCCGGAGACACGACGAGGGTCCCGACGCGGACCCCGTTATACACAAAATAATCATAATAATAATATTATAATATTACATTATACGGACCGAGGTACGAGCGACGAGCTCCGGAATTTCTATGCGTTTTCATATTCGCCATCCATACGTTTGAAGTAGGTACGCCGAACCTCCTACATCAGCACACCAATCTCCGATGATGAACGTTCGCGGATGATGAGTTACGAATTAGTAATATATTAATTTTTTTTTATGTATTCGTTGGCATATTAAAATGTGCAATTATTTCCAATCATCTCCGGTGGCCGTTCGTTTAGACAATTTAATATATTATAACTGCCGAGATGGGTACAAATTATTATACTTATGTCCTGAATGGTAATCACATTGTCGTTAACCACCTTACGATTGGTATACTTAATACCTACAACCTACCTTACCAATGGAAAACCATTATTATTAATATTTATCTACGATGTTATAATAGTCGCATGTCGAACGATCTACCACCGTGACGTTCTTCCCAGTTTCAAAGGCTGTGTACGTGTTCATTTAAGTTTCGATATTTCGAAAACAGAAATAGGGCTTTTTCTCTTTCGAGGACCTTCACGAGGAGATGACTGCAAGTGCCAAGTACACCCAAATATGCCTGCGGGTTGCGTGCTTCGGATAAATGTGCGCTCGCACAAGATTTAAGGACGTTGTTCCGTTCTCTCGATTATCAATGCAATCGTTATTATTAAAAAATAATATTATGCATACACACGTCGGAAAGTTTTTCAACCAACAAACAATGTGAACGAGTGTTTTATAATAGTGCTGCACTGCTGCCAATCGTATGGTAAGTTTCGCGATAATCTCCAAAATGCTAAAAAAACAGAATATAATATATTATAATATAACAGCTGCAATAACAAAGGTATGCCATGCAGTGTCATATTTATGTTTTCTGTATTTTGAGTCACTTTTCAATTTTCCGCCTCTTCCACCCTATCCCTTCTATAATAGCCCTAATAATATTATCATATTATGATTTATAAAATATGTATTCAAATGTACAATTTGTTATATTATTATCTTCTATAAAAAAAAACAAGCATTATAAATGATTGAATTAACATTTCCAACAAAAATTTTTTTTTTAATTTTGTAAAATAAAAATGATAAAATATGCCGCACCCAAAATGTCAACATGCGTAAAGGTTCTGTGTCTGAATACGCCTATGACCTATTGAGCAAATCTTAAAAGATAAAAAACGCTTTACGCCCACACTCATAATACAATATGATTATGTTTACTAAAAATCGAACAGTGTCGTAAACACTGCGACGGTACGTTCCTTACACCGGGTGGGTGATTTAGCTGCGCAACACCGTTCATCGACATCTGATACGAAATTTGTCCACAAAGTTCCAATGGCATGTGACATCGACTTGTTGCCATCCACAGTCCACCTAAAATTCGGTTTGAAAGCGACGTGGCCATACGAGACGATGGCAACAATAACGTTCGGATGGCCGTTAGGTATGTCATCGGAACGACCGCGACAACAACAACGGAGCAGCAACAGCAGTAACAACAATAACGTAATAATATTATGATATTCGTGCTCGTAAAGCGACTAGCGCGCGTCCGCCGGCCGCCGTCGACCTTGACGCACAAATCTCGATTTCTTCCCGTTGTGCATGTTGCGGCTGCGGCGGCAGGAAAAAAACGAAACGAATAGAAGTAAAAACAAGAGTGGTCCGAGCTGGTATGCCATGGTATACGCGCTTACTATATAGGTACGCCGCCGAGTGAAGTATTAAATAATAGTAATAATAATAGCATGTGACACTGAACCGCGGGTGTACCTATATAGAAAGTAGGTCTGTCCGTCGGTAGCTGCGCGGCGGGGTGGGGTGGGAGCGAAAAACCGGCCTCCGCACCGGGTCGGTGGCGGTGGTGGTGGCGCGGCGGTTGGCTACATAACCGGCGGACGCCGACGACCAGGCAACACTCACGTCCAGTCCGGTCTGCCGAGACGAGTACCTGCTCCTATAGCCACCACGACCACCACGTCAAGCACACGACCACCACGATGAGATCGACTTTGTTCGCGGTGTGCGCAATCGCGCTGTGCGCGCACTGTCTGGCCGCCGACGACAAGTCGGCCAAGAAGACAGAGGCCGCAGCCGACAGCAAGGCCCAGGGTAAGAGGAGCCTGTTCGACACCGGCTACGGTTTCGGTGGCGCGTCTGCCGACAGCTACGGACACGCCGACATCCTGTCCGCGGGTTACGGACACGGACTCATCTCTTCCGGCGGTTACGGAGCTGGTTACGCCGACTTCGGTGCACACAGCGCATACCCCGTTGGCGGACACGATTCTTTCGCGGCGTACGGTGGACACGAAGTGTACCAACACCACGTTCCAGTCAAGACCATCACCAAGAGCGTTGCTCTGCCATACCCAGTTGAGGTAGCCAAGCCATACCCATACCCCGTCAAGGTAGCCGTGCCAGTCGACCGCCCATACACCGTGGACGTGCCCCAGCCATACGCCGTGCACGTGGCCAAACCCTACCCAGTCAAGGTGCCAGTGGCACAACCGTACCCAGTCGTCAAGGAGGTTCCAGTGCCCGTTAAGGTACCAGTCGACCGCCCATACCCAGTGCACGTAGACAAGCCTTACCCAGTGTACGTCGAGAAGCAAGTGCCATACCCAGTAGAGAAGGCAGTCCACTACCCAGTCAAGGTACCAGTTGACCGTCCCTACCCAGTGCACGTACCAGTCGAGAAGATCGTACCATACCCAGTAGAGAAGGCAGTCCACTACCCAGTCAAGGTGGCCGTCGACCGTCCATACCCAGTGCCAGTCGAGAAACACATCCCATATCCAGTTGAGCGACCAGTGCCGTACCCAGTCGAGAAGCAAATCCCGTATCCCGTCAAAGTGCCATACAAAGTGGCCGTTGCCGTCCCATACCCGGTGAAGGCTTACCAACCCGACCACTACGAACACCACGAACACCACGACTACCATCACGGCAGCTCCGGATACTAACGTGACTCCATTGTAAGCAGCTAGTCACCACCACCATCCCCCCACAACCCCTTGCCCCCACCCCAAGTTACCAGATATTAACTCGCGCGTAATATATAATATAATAATGCCATCGTCCTTTTTTTTTAAAATTTTCTTCGAGCCAAATCAAATTCGCCATCGGGTCAAATATATTATATTCGTCCGCTGGCGCGTGTCATGCAATCAAAAAAAATTTAGTCGCGAATCGCACCGATAACCTCAATATTATTATATCATCATATTCTTCGTGTTCAATATCTATAATAATTCTTAGGGAGAAAAACGAAAAAACCATAAAAAAAAAAGATCTCGATAGTTTTCACCACACGGTTGTATCAACTTTGTTGGGCCGTTGCAATATTATTTTAATACAACGATAGTTTAATACGCACGCGTTGTGAATATAACTTTATATGAACGACGACGTAACAATATCTGCGCGTGTTATTCGTATACCTAAGCTCAATATATTATGTATACATTATTTTTTTTTTTAATTACATTTTTTATTAATATACGTTTATTAATTGAATCTATGTTTACAGATATGTAAAAATACAATATATAATATGTTTAAATATATTATACGTTGGTAGAAATTGACGTGACGAATTTAATAAACGATACAATATATTATAATATATTGTGTAGTATATAAAATATATAATATTTTGTCTTAAAAGCTTCTTATTATTTTTTTTCTATCATTTTATGTATTAAAGTTTGTATAGTTAAAACGAAAATAATAATAAAACTATTTAGCGAAGAGCGTTAAGTGTTTCACTATTTCACGAAGACGATAGCGGCGGCTGTCGAAACGTTGTACCTACATAAAATCCGCAAAAGTGAAATAAAAAAAACTCGTTGTACCTTTAATAGGTGTTTGTATCGGTTGAATAATAACGACCATTCGGCCGGCGTGGCGGACAACACCCTTCGATACAATCTATAATATCATCCAGTCGACGGTGTGTAGTAATCATTTTATTATATGTTATGAGAACGGGTCATTACCATGTATAATGTATTATATTATTATGGTTACAAAACAAACTGGTCTGTTCAATTCCGAAATGGAACGTACGAATACACACGTAAAACTATATATTATAATTTATAATAATAAGGAGACGGCTGTCGGATTCGCGAACTCGATGAATTATTATTACGATTCACATTCGCAACAAATTATATTTGTATGCTATAATAATTTATAATGATAAAACTATCGCACGAAACGTCGAATAAAGTTTTTACTTGAATCTATTCAGCTCGGTCCTTAGTAAAATAATATAACGATTAGAAAATTGTAACGATATACTGTCGTAAAATTTATTATCGTGGTGTAGCGTAGGAACCTTTATGCATACAATACATATATTTATACATTATGTAGGTATCTATAATGCGGTAAGACCATCATCATCAGTAACAATAATAATTTTGAAAATTGTTCGTATTCGTATACGTCGACTCAATTTTGTTGCACGACTCTGACGGCATTATAATATTCTTATATGTACCTATATAACGATGCTCACGCGTGCGACGGTACCTACATAAATGCATGAAAAAAAGTTTTCAAAAGCTTTTTCTCCTCCTACTAAACATATGATACGACGATGAAGACGACGACGACGACAATAATAATATATAATATTTATAATGATAGTAATAATAATAATGATAATAATAATGAAGAAATTATTTCGTTTGAAACGACGTATATAATACTATCCGAACTCTGGAAGCAACGTCATTACTCACTATAAACGGATTCATTTGTGTATATATACTTACAATATTATAATATATTATTATTATTTAGTTTGCAGCGAGGAGACGGTCGACTGAGCAATAATTTCATTTCCAGCGAGCTCTCGATTTCGTCGCGAGCCAAACGTTTGTGTAATGGTATTAGATGCTGTAAGTCGAAATCCCGTCACACGACTTATCCTTCTCGTGAACACTGTTCATACGTTTATATACATACATATTTATATGTGTATAATATTAAATACATATATACATATATTATATCGTAGAAGGATTTAATGACATAAAGTCGTCTTCCCGTACGATATCACTGTGCATAAAGACTCGACGATAGTCGTATTATTCAACCCCCTCCCCCACCACTTCGCAATAACATAATATTAATATTATGCGAGGCATGTATGACGATCGTCTAATGCGTATAATGTGTATACGATTCGATAATTCGACTTGGTGTGCGAAAGTACGCTCGTCTAATGGATTTTAAAATATTTTCAGAAAACGGCGATATTATTATAATTTTATACGTTGGTATAATACCTACACACGAGATGCTGTCATTACCTTCATAGCAATGTGCATATTATGTTATTGACAATGCATACACATTGCTAGGTCAATTAATTCAGTCCTGGAAATTTGAACCGAGAATACAAACGAATTGTGTTGTGTGCAGAATTCTCTATTGAATTTATTTATTTATTTAGTATTAATTATGATTTTATTATATTCTAACAATGGTAATAATGTATTACATACCTACTAAATATAGGTATTATACTATAATATGGAATAACGCCATAAGAAATAAATAAATAAGTTATTTAGAATTTTTGGCATTACCTATAGGTAAAGTGTACCTGATTTACTTCTATGACACTTAGAAATGTATTCCTACACTTGCATGTACTTATTTTGCTAAGCTTCATTACCTATACAATATCCATAAATAATAGGTTACATAACTATTCCATCGTTATTGTAATTGTTTTAAATAATTATTTATAATATTATAGTACAATTTGAGAGGCTAAGCGCTTCAATTTTCTTTTTAAATGTATAAAATATGATAAAATAATTTAAAAATACTTTTATGGAACACCGGACGATCTATGTTTTTTTCTTAATTTTATATTAGATGACTATATCTATTATGTTTGTGGATTGATACATTTTATGTTTCACGATAATGCAAAAATTGTCTATTAACCACTAATAACTATGCTCATTAATCGTTTGATGCAAAATAATATGGGGAGCTATTACCCTCATTTAAAACAATTAATTACCATTTTTTTTTTTTGAATACTCAGATTATAATAAAAAGGTAATAATATAATTAATTATAATAACTATAATGTAAAATAAATTGTTTTTTTGTTTTTTTCATCAATATTATATAATGATTGGTAGATAGAAAAAAAATACTGCACAAAAAATCATTTGAATGTATTCGTGGTTCGAATTACCGGGGCAAGGCAAAATTGATAGGACCATGAGTGGATTGCCCTTAATAAACCTAGGTATGCATAATTTATAAAATATTCAAAACCAAACAGCACGTGTCTAGAACGAGCGTCCAAAAAAGACAGAGGAAAGTACCTAAAATACTTGATGAAAGTTTGCAGAATAGTAATATCACAACGCGCAATATCTTCGATAGAAGTCCCTGCATCCCTAGAATCCGTGTATTATGTAATAATTTTAATTTGACACGAGAAGGTCCAATAAATTAATATTATACGAGATTATATAGTCTACCATTAAAATGTGATTCGTCTGTTGTGGGTGCTCTCTGTTGTAGTTTTTAAAACCAAATTAAGAAAATTAAAAAAAAAACTCAAGTCATTCCTGTAAATGTCGACACAGCGAAATCCAGTATATATTGGACATCGAATAAAAATATAAATAGTAGATACCTCGTTAATCTGAATGGAACTTTCTCAGAGTTTATTAATTTATTATGACGACTACGGTGTGTTTTATGTTCTGAAAATCCGTCACTCGCCGAAAACTCGTCGTACTACATTTCTGAACGAGTTCACCAAAATCAACTATAATATATTTGTTTTTGTTTCTCGTATAAACGCAATTAAATCATTTTATTATAGCATTAATTTTGACATAAATGTATAATCTTTTGAACTCGGTCGATTACGTATGCAGACTCGATTAAAATTTTATCTCCTACAATTTTATTGTGAGCGGTTAAGCGGGGGGTGCAGGGCCTTTACAATTACTATAGGCCTATGGCGACCTCTGAATACCACCCTGCAGATCTAACCAATAACTATATAGTCACCCCTAATTGGGTTCCAGGTATATAATACTATTACACCACGACTTATCGTGCGCCGTGCACGTATATGATAATATCCGTATATGCACGTGTGTAACTAATAAATTCCACACAATTAAATAATTAACCCATCATCTATAATAATACTTTCACACAAATCCACCATGGCACAGCTATTATTACTGCTACTACTGTACATTGTTTTATAGTTACGTCGTTTGACCTAAATCTGAATACCACCTTACGCCTTCAATACTTGAGACTAATTAAACAATCGCAACTCATTTTGTAACATCAAAATAATAATATGCCAAAAATGATTATTTTAGCCTTCAATAGTATCGAATTTTCGTCCGTTTTTTTACACAACGTGTATAATATAATTGTAATAATAATGAAGTATGTTAAATTATAATCACGAAACGTCTGGCATCTAAATAATTTGGAAAAGAAACTCAATGTGAGTCAATTTTTTTATCTTAAAAATAATTAATTAATGATAACAGCGAACTTACAGCAATCAAGAATTGTTTAGATCGTACAAAAATATTGTGTCACAGTAATTGTTATAAACATTTCCCCATATGAATAAAATTCAATAAAAATTGAAAAACAATTGGTGAAAAGAAATATATATAAGCTATACCTACATAAAATCTATGTATTATGACGTTTTATATTTTATTTATTTATTGTCTTCTTAATAATAATATTGAATGTTCTTATGTACTCAGTGAGATCAGTATATTTTTTTATGTTTTTATAAAAACTGAGATTGTACTGATTCATTTTTTATTCATTTTATACTCAATACTAGATTCTTGGTTATTGTGGAAATTAATCATGATGTTACACAACCACTAAATTTTAAAACACTGTTTATTGAAAAAAAAAAATAACAAGAAATAAATATGTATTGCAATTCATTAAGTGAAAACATCGTTATGATCCACGAATTATAATTGAATTTGGTATTTAACTACTTTAAGTATATTAAATTATTTTATTAAATTGTTCTCAATATTTAATTAATAAATATTATGAATAATATTAATTATTAAATAAATATTTAATATATTAAATATGATCCCAAAGTAAATAATGAACAGTTTCACTATTTCATTAATTAGCCCCAGATGACGGCTAATATAAAATTCAAAAATTGCTTGTTTTTGATATGACCCAATAAATGATAAATTCAAAAAAGTGAATGTAGTTGCTTAAGATGGAAAAGACGTTTCTTTTTATAAAATTCTGGATTTGATGTCATAAAACTACTTTTGCTTCAAGATATGGAAATACGTAATGAAGATGATATGTAAAGATCAGATGCATAATTCGAACACTATCCAGTACCCACTGGTGGGAGCAACAACCTGGTTGGTTTACTATACTGGGGGGCAGCGATTGTCCACTACAAAAGCGATGGACACCCACAATTGATCATCATTCACATTCAGATAGGTCTGCGATCAACACACATACAATGAAAGTAATATTGTTTTCTGCAACGTGCGCATTTGCGCTGTGCACTTACGCCTTGGCCGTTGAACAACCTGCTAAAAATACAAAATCAGACGAATCCCAATCCAAGAGAAGCGTATCCGAATTTAACTACGGATTCGGTGGCTCTGAAATCGCGAGCGGTGGCTACGGGCACGGTGACTTCAGTGCCGGACACGGGGACTTCAATGCCGGATTCAGTGGCTTCAGTGCTGGACACGGTGACTTCAGTGCTGGACACGGTGACTTTAGTACCGGACACAGTGACTTCAATGCCGGCCAAGCTGATTTCGGTGGAGAATACGCGTACGGAGGCCACCAACAATCGTCGTACCAACATCACGTACCCGTCAAGACCATAACCAAAAATGTGCCACAGCCATACCCCGTGGAAGTAGCCAAACCATACCCTTACCCAGTGAAGGTGGCCGTTCCCGTTGACAGGCCGTACACCGTGGAAGTGCCCAAGCCATACGCCGTGCACGTGGAAAAACCATACCCCGTCAAAGTTCCAGTGCCCCATCCATACCCCGTTGTCAAAGAAGTTCATGTACCGTACAAGGTGCCCGTAGATCGCCCATATCCAGTTCACGTGGACAAACCATACCCCGTGTACGTCGAGAAGCGTGTGCCGTACCCAGTAGAGAAGGCTGTCCACGTACCAGTTAAAGTACCGGTCGACCGCCCTTACCCGGTGCACGTACCAGTCGAGAAGATCGTACCGTATCCTGTTGAAAAGCCCGTCCACTACCCGGTTAAGGTTCCCGTCGAACGTCCGTACCCCGTTCCAGTGGTGAAGAGTGTCCCATATCCGGTTGAGAAGCCAGTGCCATATCCAGTGGTCAAGGAAATCCCGTATCCAGTCAAAGTTCCCGTCAAATACGAAGTAAAAGTACCATACCCAGTCAAGACATACCAGCCAGAACACCATTACGAACACCACCAGGAACACCATGAAGAACACGATTATCATCATGATGGTAGCAGTGGATATTAATTCAACTTACGTCTTAATCTAGTCACACTATACTTGAGTCAAAATATTTACCGTTTTATACTTTAGCTGATTTTGTTTTTCTATACTATAATATAATAGAAACGTTAAGAAAATATTTTGTTGTCATCGATTTTGTTTTTTAAATATGAAAATACTTGATAGTTCCGACAGTTATATTAATATTGGTTGATCCGTTAAAATACTTTATAGTTTATATTATACTAGAACTTTATTAATAATAGTGTATACACGACATAATAGTGTCATAATTTGGGTATTATTTAAATGAGCCCATTTTTTTTTTTTTTATAAATCCTATCATTTTATCCATATATGTTACAAATGTATATATGGTTAATGTTCATCAATGTATATTGAATACCTCTCTATTGTTAGTCAAAATATAAATAAAAAATGTTTCAATTAAATTAATGTTCTGAATTTTTTTAACCCCAATAATATCTGTAAACTGATCCAAACTATTGAAACAAATAATACGCTGTAGCGAGTACTGAAAAATCCTTTTAGATTTTTATATCGACTGTTATACAATGACGTATTTTGTTATAATATTGTTAGATATCAATTTTATGTGAAAACTGCATGCCCAAGATTTTAAATTTACATTAGATTGTTAACTAAACTTTGTAAAGGAGCTTTTTTTTTTTACTACAGAAAATTCTGTAGAATACCTAACTGGTAATGGTTATCAAAACTGTTATCAGTACCTATAACTAATTAACCCTTAAAGTTATTTTATAATGATTATTAGTTTTACACCTATTTAAGGTGGACAAGTTTGTATCTTTTGGCTGTACTATGTGTGTCACTGTAATATATAAAGTGTTAAATTTAAAATATTATAAAATTATTTTATGCGATGAACGATTCCGAGTGAAGACGATCTATAAGCCTATATTAAGAAGTATATTTTAAGATATTATTGATTTTAAAGTAGTTTATTTTACTATTAGTACAATTGTATGTTGAAATAGTTTTTGCCAAAAAAATGTCTTTTGGTATACTTTAAAAGTTCAAGTGCCCACGAATAATATTTTTAATTTAGAAAAAAAACTAAAATTGTAATTTTCTGTTTATTATGTAATTTCATTTAAATAAATTCAAATATATATTTTTAAAAAATGGATATTTATGATTTTTAATTTTTTTGGTTACAGTTTGAAATATTAATGAGATACATTATTTTTAATGTCCAATACTTACCTACAAAAAAATGAGGAAAGTTCATTCTTTGAGAGTGTGAGAGTGTTAAATTCCCGGCTTCTAAAAGTACCTATTTTAACACAACACAATTAACAATAATTCCAAATAAAATTTAAAGATAATTTGGTAATCCTAATATTTATCCGTATATTTTGGCTAGTATGAATCTATAACCAATACTTCTACAACAAACAAATATCTTAATATAAAAGATCGTAATAATAACGGGTGAACGCAACTTGATATAAGTGTTCTAAACATGTGTTATAAACCTGAAATTAAACACTTTACATATTTTTAGCTACACAATTATTTGAAAATGTTCTTGATTTTAACGAATTTGGTAAAAATTTGAACTTACAATGCTATTAAAAATAATCGTGCTTATAAATCTATAATATTTCTGAACTGAAATTAAAACTACTCATGAGTTATGGAAAACCTTTTATTACATTTCCAAACTTTTTGAACCAGTGAATTTTTTTTCGATTTTAATAAAAGCAAATTAATGTAAATCAAATTTCTTATGGCGATAAATTGCTTGCTATAAGAGTCAACATGTCTTGAAAATATAATGGTGTGGGTATATAAAAATGTTAATGCAAACATTTCGTGTAAATTGCATGTATCTGCGGTTATTTCTGTTCGAGATACACTAACCGATGATTTTTTTTTGGGAATTTTCAATTTTGAACTCTTGAATGAACCGATTAGATTTACTTTCCCGCCAAAAAAAAAGACTCTAATGTTAACATTTTTGAGCATTATTTCGGCTACTTATCATGTACACGGATAGAAAACATAAAATATGTACGATATTTTAAAATCGATATCACTTCACTCAGAATCTAAGATAGGTGATCAGTAAAAAGTGTAAACGATAATTTTTTTTAACAAGGGATCAACGTAATAATTTTGACGATTTTAAACATGCGATGATTCGTATATAAAATTATGAGAATTCCTTTTGATTTGGGTAAACATTACCTAGTTTCTTTGATAAATATCATATTATGTTAGTATCTTAAATTTTGTACTCCTTAAAACTGTGATTCAATCTTTATAAAATTTATATTTTGTAAAGTATTTTAAAAATCACTGTTATAGGGTTTTTTTTTACATATTTTTTGATTTTAAAATGTATTGATTGTGAAATTTATTAGTTTTAAATAATTGTATAGGTACATTCTTTAAGATTTCCACTTGTATAGAATGTATAGCCAGAATATTATCAAAATAATTAATGTATGCTGATATCAGATATGATAATAAAAATATATTATACTCAATACAATTGAAAAAAATATTTACGTCTATATAGTGGATAATTGTTTTAACCATAACTATATAATACAAAACTTTACAACTGCACACGTAGGTGAGAGATGTAAAAAAAAAACATTTTTAAACATTCTAAAGCAGACACAGTAGTTAATGTGCAATCGTCTTTAATGATATTTTATCGGTTCTTTCAAAAATGTAATTAACAGCAACACTACATAGCGTTGCGTCGGGATGACCGGAGCGAGACGAGAGCTGCACACTCAGCTGCGGCAGTTCGTAATTTGTATTATACACATACAATGACATGAGCTTATTTAATATTGTAGAAATCGACTGCAGCGTACAGACAAAATATATAATATAATACAATTATGTAGTTAAGTTGATAAATATGCATCAAACCGACGGCAACCGTTGGTTCGATTAAGACGTTATTGTTTTGGCCGTGTTCGTCAATACATTACATAAAGCATCTATAGAGCGAGAAATAAAACAAAATATTAAATCTAACCTACATCGATAAAATGCTTTGTGCCTTTGTCTTATCCACTTTATTAGACGCATTTTATCACAACACTCATATTATAGTTACAACAGATTTATCTACAAAAACAAAAATGTATATAAATAAATATAGGTACGAACATAAAACCACTATATTATTATGTGCACAGATGACCTAGTTTCCAGACATATTATATTAAATACACTGGGGCTTAATCGAAATCAAAACTTTAATCCAAAAAAGTTTTCAAACGCACATCGACTACTTACTACACACAGGTCCTTGGAAAGAATAATAGAGAACATTTCTAATCCTGAGTGCGGTAGTAGTATATTCACACTATATTTGCCGACACAAATCCCAATCGCCGTCCTCTCTTAAACCCCAATAATACCTATATCTTGGGGGTCAATGGGTCATAGTATAATATATAATATAGCCAGACGAATTTAATGTGAAATCGTTACGTGTTTCAGATAAACTACAGCATATACTACAGTATTATCAGTAGAGTACGAATGCTGTTATAACAATATTAAAAAAAATTAAAACAGAAAAAATGCATTAAATTGCATTGATTATATCTTATTAATTCATTTTGTCTAATTAATTAACTTTACATAACCATAATGAATATTAAGGGATATCGAAAACACTTAACTAAATTGAAATTATAAGTTATGATTGTAAATAATTTTCATTAGTAAAATTCAACTTTAAATTCTGAAAACTGGTGACATTCACTTTATTTACTATTTGGCCATTAAGGAATCTAATCTGAAACATTAATAGTATTAAGTGTAAACCAGTTTGAACTGAAATTATATTCAAAAAGAATATTAAAAAGTAAAACATTATTCTGAATTATGTTTACACTGAATAAATTATTCAATTTATTTTAAAACCAGCAATACGAATTAAAATCTATTAAAATCACAATATTATAATAATAAAGTATTACAACAATATTCGTTATAAGAATCTAAGAATGCTTTTGTTTAAAGCCTACTACAAAAAAAAAATTATATGTCCAAATAATATTAACACTAATATTTTGCATGCACATTATATAGGTAGGTATTAAAAATATCGTGATATTTAATAGGAAGGACATAACATGTTTAACACTGTAAAACAATTGAAGTACAAGCAATATATAACACGTCTTACGTGTGAAGAACGAACTAGTTTAAAAAAAAAAAACTTCATAAAAATTATCAAAATATTAATCGAAATTTGAACATATGATATATACTTACAGAAATTTTATATATTGTTAAATATTAGAAATTAAAAAAAATATTTTATCAGTACCTAATTTAAAACTAATTAATAAGAATATTATCATAAAACGTTATAATCGTTTATTAATTTAAGGTGCTTACTATATACATTTAGCATAATATATTATTATATAGGGTCTTTGTGTAATTAGTAATTTGATTTAACAAAATAAATAGACAGTACTACAGTAGGTATTATTATGACGATTACCAACGTTTTTCATTTTGCTGTATTCCAACGACTTTAAAATAATAGTGTTTTAAATTTTACTGAAAAATATTCACGGTTATTACAGCTAGTATTAATGTTTTGATTTATGTTCTTAATAATAATTATAACTGTGTAAAAATAAACGTCGATTTGTATTAAATACGTGTACAGTATTATAACTCAGACGACTTGAAATCAATGCAGTTGAATAATAAGTAATAACACATAATATACAAGACGGAATTGCCCCGACGGTGTGTGGGTTATACATTGATCTAATGAAACAACTTTTAGCCTCAACGTGGAAGCGCGTGTTATGAGGATGATATTTTAGCAGTTAAAATACGTAACTCTACAGACATTCGACAGGTGGGAGTGGGAACCCGGTTTGGGCTCTCCCGGAAGGAGCATCGACGGTTCACTACAAAAGTGCCAGTCGCAGACAATTCAGCACCATTCACATTCAGTTCAGTCTGCGGCAGGTTCGACGACCACTGCGACCAACACACAACATGAAAGTAATATTGTTTTCGGCGTGCGCATTCGCGCTGTGCGCCTACACATTGGCCGCAGAAGAGTCGGCCAAGAAATCAAAATCGGACGACAACCAGTCCAAGAGAAGCGTATCCGAATTCAGCTATGGATACGGCGGCGGCTACGGACACGGTGGCTCCGAATTCTCAAGCGGCGGCTACGGACACGGTGGCTCCGAATTCTCAAGCGGCAGCTACGGACACGGTGGCTCTGAAATCGTGAGCGGCGGCTACGGACAAGGAGACTTCGGTGCCGGACACGGTGACTACAGTTCGGGAAGTATCGGCGGCGGTTACGGTGGATCATACGGTGGACACCATCAATCGTCGTACCAACATCACGTACCCGTCAAGACCATAACCAAACACGTGCCACAACCTTACCACGTAGAAGTAGCAAAACCATACCCATACCCAGTCAAAGTGGCCGTTCCCGTCGACAAGCCGTACACCGTGGAAGTGCCCAAGCCATACGCCGTGCACGTGGAAAAACCATACCCCGTCAAAGTTCCAGTGCCCCATCCATACCCCGTTGTCAAAGAAGTTCATGTACCGTACAAGGTGCCCGTAGATCGCCCATATCCAGTTCACGTGGACAATCCATACCCCGTGTACGTCGAGAAGCGTGTGCCGTACCCAGTCGAGAAGGCTGTCCACTACCCGGTCAAGGTGCCAGTTGACCGTCCCTACCCAGTGCACGTACCAGTCGAAAAGATCGTACCGTACCCGGTCGAGAAGCCCGTCCACTACCCGGTCAAGGTTCCCGTCGAACGCCCATACCCCGTTCCAGTGGTGAAGAGTATCCCATATCCGGTCGAGAAGCCAGTGCCATATCCAGTGGTCAAGGAAATCCCGTATCCAGTCAAAGTTCCCGTCAAATACGAAGTAAAAGTACCGTACCCAGTCAAGACTCACCAGCCAGAACACCATTACGAACACCACCAGGAACACCACGGAGAACACGATTACCATCATGGTAGCAGCGGATATTAATTCAACTCAAGTCTCATTCTAGTCACATCCGAGCCCAAAGTTACCGGTTTACGTATGTTATGTGTACAAGTATGGTACCTATGTCATACTTATACGATGTAATTATGTAAAGATTTGTATTTAATATGTTTATTTTACTGTATCTTGTAATCGAAGCGTGTGAGAATAATATTTTGAATATTTTCTTTTTTAAAAGTGAAAAGATCTCGAAAGTTGTGTCGCCGCAATAATATTATACCAAACCTGGTGTTTAATATACTTAGGAACTAATAGTACAATATTTGCGTGACAAAAATATTACGAAAGTGATATTTGTGTTTAATTTTTCTTATGAAACCTTCTTTGTTGAATATGTACTATTCTTTTACAAATAATATATCATCTTTGTATATGTACCAAAACATATATATGATAATATATTATATTTTACATTTTTATAATTTGTATACCCTATTATATATACTATTATACTATATTTTTAATAAAAACAATTTTTTTTTACATTATGTTCTTTATTTTTATTTCACTATTATAGTACCTAGTTCTAATATATTACTATTATAATTATTTTTCGAAATCGCATAACTAATAGGACGACCATAATTGTATGAATAAGTGAAAATGTAGTTTATATTATTATAATGGGCATGCGCAGATAGCATTGATAGGTATACTGCTAGAGTCAACAAATAGTTTCGTATTCTACCAAATATCTTATAAACCATAGATAAAGGTCAATGCTATTAGTGTAATTATTGCATATCATGAGCTCAGCGCTCATTATTCTATTTAATATAACTTCGAAAAAAGTTGTTATTATAAATAAATTTACAAATTACTCAGATAATATTATGTGTAATACCTACTGGTACCACAGAAATAAGAAATCGGTAATGCGTGAAATGTACTATCGTATAATATGATCAGTTATAACTCTGGTTAATATTATATTTAGGTACAATGACCTTATCCATTAAAAAAAAACTTTATTATACTTACTATATTAGAGCATACATTTTCTATCAACTGAAAAATAATCATTAAATCATAAAAACGAATGACGAATAATGCTGAAAATAAAATGGACAAGTTTCCATACTATTTTATCTTTGTGTGAATTATGTCAATTTAATTAATAACACAATGACGTTAGAAAAATGTATTATGTACAATACGAAAACAAATATATTATTATCAGTTCATTTTTCTCAACTTAAATAATAATTATTATGCTATTTACTTCTTGGATGGCCAAAAATATTATGTAAACTCACAAAGTTACAATCTACTCATTATAATATTACGATTAGAATAAAACCACCTACATTAATTATTATACCTGTTTTTATGATTAGAAATTATTAAATATCGTGTGTAAAAGTGTATACAGTCTTTTCCTAATATACCTAATGATATTTAGTTGATTTTGTGCATAAATAATTATATAATTATAAAGGTAATCCTTCGATATATTATTTCCTATACAATATACATATCATTAGATATGTACATAAAATTTAACATAATGAATGATAAAATTAAAAATAACAACTTATTCATAATTTCTACTATTTCGCAGGTTAGCCGAAATAAAATGAATTAGGTAATATTTTTTTTTTAGAAAGGTAACTGGCCATATGAGTTTACACATTTTATAATTTATGTTACTATTGAGTCTATACATATTATTATCGAATAACTTGTAGAGATTTAAATACTTAATCCTTGATTAATTAGTTGGTTCGACTGAAGCTTTACGTACCGTAAAAAATACAGTAAATTGAGCTTTGTCACTTTGCTGCAGAAATGTAAATTACCTTACAAAAACCAATTTTACGATAAAAATTAATGACATTTATAAATGCGATTTATACAAAATACCTCTAATAATAAGTTTAGAATACCTATTATATTCCGTCTTTTCGCCCGTCCGTTAGTTACCAGTAAATAGTTAAGATTATTGGTATTAATATTCTACAGACAGAAGAGGTTCTATTAAACGTAAATTTATATTATCCAATACCTATTAAAAAATATCAACATTTTAGTATTTAATAAAGAAAGGCGATATTAAAAACGTTACTATGAAATCCTTTAAAATTTGTATTATTTTATTGTAGTTCATTGGGTTGTATTAAAATAAGTTTAGATACCGAGAATTTAACAAGTTCGTAAAGTGAACTATCTCATCTTGTTTGCTTTTCATTTTTATAACATTTATATAAATATTTTAGTATCATTTCTTTGGGAAAATATTTTAGTTTTGACTTTCGATTAAAATAGTTGTTCATTCCAATGAAGCTATGACTATTTTAGTTTCTAAGCGAAGTAGACGATGTCATTTTTACTGTTTAGTTACTTTTTAGAATTAAACACTTTTAGCTTTACTGCGAACATTATTGTAACATGAATGACATTTTAGAAGTAACGATTTATTACTAAAAAACCAAAAGCTTATGAATAACTAAATGTAAAATAAGGATTTCCAGGTAAAAGTAACGGAAAAGTCGGTTCGCGTTCAACTTTTCGAATGGTTCATCGAAACGTGAACATTTACTAGCATTCATATTTATACAGGGTGATAATTTAGTATTAATGTTTTTGAAAATATTTTTTTTGCATAACCTGAAGTCATTAAAAGACAATATTTTTTTAAAATTTATAATGATTTTTTTCTATTTTTTATTGTTGTCGTTTTTTCTTAAGTTTTTTAGTTTTTAAACGAATATATATAAATTAAGATAAACATTTTTTAAAATTTCTATTAAGTAGAATATTTTTCTGAAAATTTAAATACATAAAAATCGAGTTTTTAACCAGTAGTTAATTAGTCATAACTAATAAGCATTTAAAGTTTTGAAGAGCGAAGTAGCAGACCAACGTTTTACGGGGAACAACTTTGCCAATCCACTCCACACGTTATAACTTTAAATACTAAGTACTTATTTACAACTCGTTAGAAATACGATTTTATTATATTATCATAATTTTCAGAAAAATCTTCTGCTTCAGAATATATGGAATTACTCATTTTTTTTTCAAAAGTTTTGTTTAGTTATGACTTCAAGGAACGAACAATTTTTTTTTAAAACTTAGCTATATGTAGGTACTTTTCGAAATAATGAGTGTTTACTGTTGAAATAATCCTCCAGTACTTAAATGTACCTATACTGTTTTAAATCGTTAAAAAATGTATTCGTATCAGTAAACGCATATTGTATAGTTGTATTGGTATAATCCATCCAACCTGACCTATATTATGCCATAATATTAATATGTATACAATCGACAACTTACTGTTTTCCGGCAAAACGGCGATGGTAATAACCACCAACCACGCACGCATAGGTATAATTTAATATAGGAAGGTAACAAACACGCGTTAAAAACATTTTTTCCCTTAAATCACGAGATCCTCGCTAAATAATTTGTCTTCATGTTTCGGAATACATAGCAACACAGACACGCGGAGGGGTTTTGAGCGTAATAGATTGCAGTCGTTTCCTCGGACCATTTTCCCGGGCTCATATTGGTGCGGCATTTTCAGTCCCGCTTTTCACGAAAAACCATAGGTTCCAGTTAAATTACTCTTCATACGCAACACAATACAACGTGTGTTCCAGTGTAAGTATGTATATGTCCCGTATTATTATCCAACAGCTATTGCTTTTCGAAAATCCGTTCTCGACCGGATTCTATATAGCTGGTACACGCAATCGCCAATCGGTATATATTTGTTTCGTACAGAACCCCATTTGTATTTGTTTGTCAGTATAATAATATAATGTTCATATAGGCAGGTACTTCGAAACCGAATGAAATGGAATACGTTTTAAAAAAAAATTATAAACCTGGAAACAGTTGAAATCATTACGCGTTTACCTTGTACGGAAAATTACATAATGCGATTATTATTTTTTTTTATAACATCACAAAAACTGTGAAAAGCTCTGGCAATCGTGTTATGATAACTGCAGTAACCTAGTTGCACTCGATCTAATTAATTAACGTCGACGTAACCATTATTACCGGTTCAAAAATAAATGTATCATACAATGTAGCAGAAAAAAATGTATATAATATTGTGTATTATTTTTTAATCTAAACACTTGGAAACTACTATCGAAAATATTCAAAGTTCAAATCTGTCGAAACTAGAAATAGCGATGTGTCTATTCGGAATGTAAAATAGTATTGAAGCGTTTTAATATACAATTTTAAAATTATATTCCATTCGAAAAAAAATACAAAAGTGTAATTACATTTTATAATAAGTCCAAACAATCTAATTAAACGGTCATAGATACTGTACAATGGAAAGTACGTATAGTTAGTACATATAGGTATTACGAGTGGAAGACTACACCACACAGCTAGTGAAGCCGATGAATTCCTCGGTGTACATTCGTAATATGAATTTATTTATTTATACAAAAACCACAAGGAGAACACAGCGAACACAGCATAAAATTGATAAAACATTTTTTTTTAAAATTTATTTGGTGTAAAATATAAATTATGTTAACCTAACCATTTATCGTTACGAAATAAATCATAATTAATGTCAGAGACAAATCAATGTTATATAACTCTTTAAATACTTTAATACATAATAAGTTAATAATCAATTTCCGAAATTAATTTTATATATTATAGATTTATTACATAATATTGACGAATTGGCGGTTTTATTCAAGTTCAGGATAGCTTATAATTATTTTAAGTAAACAAATAGGTTCGATTTGAACTATAAAATTAAAAAACAAATTTTTCTCAATATTTCTATAATAAGTATTTGTATGATACAATAATTACAGTATTTTAATTATTCATAATACATGAATCTCATAACTAATAACTAATAAGTATCCTATATTAAGGCCGTAATTACATATTTAGGTACTATAATATAAAGTACCTAGTGGCTAGTAATATAATACATAATAACTGTGGCTCAGTAATATGTAATTAATACGAACACAACTTTTCTATACTGCCCATATATTATATATTATTTTATTATAGATTAATTTTTTTTTAAAGTTTATTATTAGTAACCTCTGTGCAATACAAGAAGTTATTTGATGTTATGTATTTAAATTGTATGCCCATATACTCACAGCAATTATTATTAATGTGGCGAATTATTCTAAATTTAGCTCCAACAACCGGTTTTACATATCGTGTTATACGGCGCTTAGATTGATCGGAGTATAAGAAGATCATTTTTTTTACGACAATTGCATATATTGTG